CTGTGCCACTGGAGGGCATTGATTTATGAGTGTATTATATATATATTATAAATATATTTTATATAAGTTATCTTTTAAGACAAACGCACTATATGTTTTATAAAATTACATTGAAGATGTTTAGCGATGACGAGCAAGTGTGAAGTTTTGAAACAGTGATTTATATTATTAAATATGCATTACACTGTCCGTGAATCCGCTTCCGATTGGAAAGCAATTACTTCAGATCCGATACGTTCAGAAGGATTTTAGCTTCTACACAGTTGAAGTAGAACTTGAGTACATTGTAATAGTTTTGTCGCTTTTTCAGGATGCCGTAAATCTTCTGTAATGATTTGGGTCCAAGTGCGTGATGAGGGACGTTACGAATAGTGAAGCGCGTGTAAGTTATCACGCAGTTCACTCTAGTAAGCTATCATCGGAGTGCACCATCATATCAAACGTCCCTTAGCTAAGAGGTAAGGGTAAGTTCTTGTAAAATACGATAAAATATGACTCTGTACATAAACTAATGAAGTTACGGCACGTACAATAGTCTGGTACTTATTACAAGTTAAGTGTATGAACGACTGGTAATAGCTTTAGTGTTGAAATATCTAGATTTAGTGGTTCTAGCCAGAAGTTTTATTTATTTTTCACCTACTATGAAACTAATACCTCTCCGCCATTGATGTTTCTTGGTAAAATACAATATTTTCAGATGTTCTACCACGTCGTATTCATCCGGTGAAACCACTGAATGAAACCGCAATCATCTAAACATGAGATAATTGAAAGCAAGACAAATCAAAATAACACATAATTTGAATTAGGTCATGAACAATCGTTCACGTTGATCAGTTAGCATGAATATTTATTTTTTCCCACGGCTACTTTGAGTATTCTATTGGAAAACAAAAGCGTTTATAACATTACAGATTCAAATAATCACCAACGCTGAAATTTCTTCTCTAATTTCAGTTAATACCAATACAGAGAACACATAGTGTATACCACTTTAATGGTACGAATGGTATGATGGCTCTGTCTTTGTTGATGAAAGTATCCACCAAGATATACATATACATATATATATATCTTTATTTTTCAGAAATGGGTGACTCACAATGGGTGACAGTTCATAACTTCATTAGTTCATAACTCCATAATACAAGGAATCCTAATTATCTATATTCATCTCCAAAACGACAAAAGGTCAGCGTGATAAAAGATGGTTTGGCGTTCTTGAAATTTATCTTAATGTCAATAGTTGGTTCAGACACTACCTTTGACATCTGCACACAGATGATTTGTTAACTTTGCGAAGTCTTTATAGAGGAACGATAGCTGCAGCATTAGGTTTCCTTAATGGTGTGGAGTTTATAAATCATTTGTATTCTGTAATTGTTTTCTTTCTTCTAAAACCCTTTTCATAACATTATAGGGTAGTTAATCTTTAACTGCCGTCATATTTTAGTGTTATATGTATTTTTTTCTCATTGTATTTTTGTTTCGTATGAATTTCAACCGTTTTGGACTGTGAAGAACTTAACATTTTGTTTAAGTTTGATTTAAATTAGTTAAAACAAGTAGGTAATTTGTAAATTGTGACCAAGTTGTCTTTGTCCAACATTTATCGTTCTTGATAGGAACTGAAGAAACCGGTTCACATCGTGACACGTGATCTCTGTCAAACGTTTCTCGGTCTTGATAGCTAAAGAAGAAACCGGTTTATATCGTGACACGTAGTCTCTGTCCAACATTTATCGTTCTTGATAGGAAATGAAGAAACCGGTTCACATCGTGACACGTGGTCTCTGTCAAACGTTTATCGTTCTTGATAGGAAATGAAGAAACCGGTTTACATCGTGACATGTGGTCTCTGTCAAACGTTTCTCGGTCTTGATAGCTAAGGAAGAAACCGGTTTATATCGTGACACGTAGTCTCTGTCAAACGTTTATCGTTCTTGGTAGGAAATGAAGAAACCGGTTCACATCGTGACACGTGGTCTCTGTCAAACGTTTCTCGGTCGTGATAGCTAAGGAAGAAACCGGTTTACATCGTGACACGTGGTCTCTGTCAAACGTTTCTCGGTCGTGATAGCTAAGGAAGAAACCGGTTTACATCGTGACACGTGGTCTCTGTCAAACGTTTCTCGGTCTTGATAGCTAAGGAAGAAACCGGTTTACATCGTGACACGTAGTCTCTGTCAAACGTTTCTCGGTCGTGATAGCTAAGGAAGAAACCGGTTTACATGTGTTTTGTATCAAACGTTTCTCGGTCTTGGTAGCTAAGGAAGAAACCGGTTTACATCGTGACACGTAGTCTCTGTCAAACGTTTCTCGGTCGCGATAGCTAAGGAAGAAACCGGTTTACATGTGTTTTGTATCAAACGTTTCTCTGTCTTGGTAGATAATGAAGAAACTGGAGTCTATATGATCCTCAGTAATATAACTTTATTTTTAACAAGATTTTTATTTTTCAAATATTCATACGTTAATGGGAGCGTTTGAATACTTTAATGTACTTTTTAACTTATTTTAGTTTTCAAAAAACGATATTCTGTGTTTCTGTGACTCCATCTTAGCACTCATGTATGTATAAATTATCTTCCATCTTAGCACTCATGTATGTTTCAGTGACTCCATCTTAGCACTCATGTATGTATAAATTATCTTCCATCTTAGCACTCATGTATGTTTCTGTGACTCCATCTTAGCACTTATGTATGTTTCTATGACTCCATCTTAGCACTCATGTATGTTTCTGTGACTCCATCTTAGCACTCATGTACGTTTCTGTGACTCCATCTTAGCACTCATGTATGTATAAAGTATCTTCTATCTTAGCACTCGTGTATGTATAAATTATCTTCCATCTTAGCACTCATGTATGTTTCAGTGACTCCATCTTAGCACTCATGTATGTATAAATTATCTTCCATCTTAGCACTCATGTATGTTTCTGTGACTCCATCTTAGCACTTATGTATGTTTCTATGACTCCATCTTAGCACTCATGTATGTTTCTGTGACTCCATCTTAGCACTCATGTATGTTTCTGTGACTCCATCTTAGCACTCATGTATGTATAAAGTATCTTCTATCTTAGCACTCGTGTATGTATAAATTATCTTCCATCTTAGTATTCATGTATGTATAAATTATCTTCCATCTTAGCATTCATGTATGTTTCTGTGACTCCATCTTAGCATTCATGTATGTATAAATTATCTTCCATCTTAGCATTCATGCATGTATAAATTATCTTAGAATTTAGAATGACCAGTAAAGATATGAAGATAATCCTGCACCAAAACTATATACATGCAGTGAGTTGCCTCCTATCAAAAACATCGAGGTCACTCTACAGCAATACGACGAATATGATGTCATTTGCCTGCTATCAATAACACGAAGATCACCCTGCATACCTACGATAAAGAAATCCAGCGAGTTATTGCCTATCAAGAACATGTAGATCACCCTGCACCAATACAACACAGGTGCAGCGAGTTATCTCTTATCAAGAACATATAGATCACCCTGAACTAATGCGTCAAAGGTGCCTCCTATCATGTGCAGGAAGACTAGCATCATCTGTGTGAACATGTAATGAAACCCTGAATTGATTGTGTGATATAAAGAAAATAATATAAAAATGAATCATGAAACATAATAAAATATTTAGTTATTTATGCTGTTCCAATAAATTAATACATTTCTTACATATCCCACCATACTACTTACGTTAGAAAATAGAATAGTAGTTAAGGGTTAAGACAGGGTTAAGGGTTAATGAATGTTTAAATAAATCATTAAAATTTTACAGTTCACAGAATTTTTCATTTCGAACTCTAGCTTCCTTTCAAAGGCAACTCTGCGTACAATATGGTTCAGTAAAAAGTGTTGTTATCCTACAATGACCTAAGTATTTCAACAATATATATATACATAGTAATTGTACTTTCTAACATTCAGAACATAGGCTATTGGTGTAAGCTCTCAGCTCTGTATTCAAATACAAACAGCGATTGCATGAAAAAATAGAAACCTTAAATCGTAACATTCACAATACAAGTAAAAAAGGCTTGTTGTTAGGCCTTATGAGAAGGCAATCCTATACCTGTTCTAGTACCCAGCCATTTGGTGAGATCACAAATTGTATACATCGCCGAAGTTTATAACGTTTCGGTTTCTTTCCCATCTAGAAAATTAAGGTTGTAAAACACCTTTGACATAAATATATCTTAGTAGTCGCTGCCATTCCACAGCAATAACTGTTATTATATTTCTTTCACAAAACATCCAAGAAATCGACACTGTTATAGGAAATATCAAGACTGAATCCATAAGAATGCAAGACTTGAAAAATCTCATAAAAAAAATGTTGCATGAAATGTAATTCTATGATCTCAAAAGAATTTTCATTTCGATTAAAATAAAGGTTTAGATCTCGCAACTTTTATTTTCACCCAAACTCTAGTATTTCAAAGGAAATATGGTAAGAGAAACGTTTTTATTATTAAGAAATTTTCTGAAATTTCCTATAAACAGTGACTTCGCTCACGATTATATGGCTTTTATTTTAAAACATAAGGAGATATTTCTTAAACTTTACATACAGATATAGGATGGCTCATAGCCAAGTCCACAATAAAGATACTAAAGAAAAATTAAGGAATCAAGTGTGTAAAACGAAGACACCCAATCTGGATCACGAAGATTGTGTTGTTTAGTTTTGTTTTCCTTTAGCTGGAGGGAATACGCCGTCTGATATATTAGCTGGGAACAAAATAAGACAGATAATGGAAATGTTTTGAACTTTATGGTAGGTAGCAACATACAGGATTGATCATAGTGAAGTTTTGTTTTCCTTTAGCTGGAGGTTCACTATGATCAATCCTGTATGTTGCTACCTACCATAAAGTTCAAAACATTTCCATTATCTGTCTTATTTTGTTCCCAGCTAATATATTAGACGGCGTATTCTACTTTTTTATAAAGTACAACACAATCTTTTTTGAATTAGCCAACTTAATAAAATAATGAAAAGTTATTATAATGGATTATTTGTTTTGAAGTTCGCGCAAAACTACACGAGGGCTATCTGCGTTAGCCGTCCATAATTTAGCAGTGTGAGACTAGAGGGAAGGCAGCTAGTCATCACCACTCACCGCCAACTCTTGGGCTACTTTTTTACCAACGACTGACCGTCACATTATAACGCCCCCACGGCTGAAAGGGTGAGCATGTTTGGTGTGACGTGGATTCGAACCCGCGACCTGCAGATTGCGAGTCGAGCGCCCTAACCACCTGGACATTCCTATTATAAAGGAAGCTCCATATTTAAAATGATTATGTCTAAGAACAACGTCTATTAGGTGAACACCATTTCATTTCAGGCATACTAAGAATTATATTTTTGACAGTGAAGGCGGAAAACATACTTTTAGTCCATTTCAATCAGCATATTAAGCCCTATCTATAAATGAAGTTACTTTAAGCATTATTTCATAGGAACAATGTTCGTTAAGCCTCACCAATACGACGCACACTGGTACACATGTGATCTTTATCACGTTGTTATAAGAGAGAAAGAAGAAACATAAAAGTAACACAAGACTGGGAGAAAAGCGATTTAGATGGTTTTGAAAAACATTGAACCATTTACAAAAATTTTAAATAAAACTTGTGATCCTCAACGTGCCTTTGTATCAATTATGTCCGTCTGAGACAAATGGTTTTAATATATAATTTTTTTAAATAAGGGATTTTCTTTGTAATCACCCTATTTAAAAAAAAAACACGTCTAGCCTTTCCAACAGAGATGATAAATAAAGCTCATTTAGATTGAAGCATCAGATTTTGTCATGTAAACAAAACAAAGGGTTTAGAATATAACATTTTCAGGAAAAATACACACACACACACAAAAATTAGAATAAAGTGTTTGCACGTTTTCATATAAAATAATATAAAACCTCCTATTTCCCGAGGGATCATCTTAAGTACTTCTTCAGAGAGATGCGTTCTTTGTTACATATTCTACGGTTACACACCAGACCGTAGAATATGTAACAAATACAATTTTTCCTAAATTGTTCTAGATAATTAGTTTTTTTCTTTTTATTTCCATGTGTGCTCTATCAAGTAACGATTATTCTCAGGTGGCTATGCCTAAAATCGGTTTTTCACTTTGCTTGTTATCAAACCATTCTGTATTAATTTTCTTATCCTTTTTTTATAGGAGACATTAAAAACATATTAATATTGACTTTTTTGTTTTATCAATTTCCAGTGCCCATTAAATAGTTTTAACGTTTTCTATCTTGACAGAAGCCCATTAATTATATCAATTTGTATATCAAGCGGTTGGTTACTTAGTAACGGCGAGTCAAATGTTTGATTATAAGACAGTCATTAGATATAAGAAACTCTGCTACATCGCAAATATATCGTGTGTTTAAATACTACAGAAGCATGTTTTATAGTAAAAATATATAAATATATATGTATATATATAATATCCAGCTATTAGGTTTGTAGTAACGCCCTTTTAGTTCCATTTAAAAATATTTTTGTCAGCAGCAAAACGATGTTAAGCGTCCACACTGGTACACTGAGGTACATTATAATATTCCATTATTGTAACTCATTATTTCTCCTCTCAATGATGTCATATAATGGAGTGTACATTATAATATTCCATTATTGTAACTCATTATTTCTCCCAATCAATGACGTCATATAATGGAGTGTACATTATAATATTCCATTATTGTAACTCATTATTTCTTCCCTCAATGACGTCATATAATGGAGTGTACATTATAATATTCCATTATTGTAACTCATTATTTCTCCTCTCAATGACGTCATATAATGGAGTGTACATTATAATATTCCATTATTGTAACTCATTATTTCTCCTCTCAATGACGTCATATAATGGAGTGTACATTATAATATTCCATTATTGTAACTCATTATTTCTCCCCTCAATGACGTCATATAATGGAGTATTGAACTTGTTACTCTTTAAAACTGTCAAAGTTTTGCACAAACCTCTAATATCTTATGACTATTATAATTTTGGACTTAAAAATAAAAACTAAGATGCACCGAACACGTGATGATATTGCTTTTCCACAGTAATCAACATTAAAGCACTCGTGTTGTAGAGTAAAACGAAACGAGTTCCCTATAAATAGACATCAAATGATCCTTAATAAAGTGTTATAAAATTAACCTAAGTATTTGAAACAACTTACTATTTCGTTTCATATTAAAACAATGAATTACAGAACGTAATGACTGTTGCTGTTCAGCCGAATAACAGGCGAAATCAGCACTACATCTCTGAAATGTATCAAGTGTAACTGGAAATTTAGATTTCGAAAAAATGCATTGCACTCCGACGTGTGTAGTTGGGTTGTGCCCTCCGCTGACTTAGCAGAAAATGTGACGATTTATAAAGCTAAAAATCAGGCTTCGATACCCACGGTGGGTAGAGCACAGATAGCCCAATGTGTAGCTTTGCACTTAGCAACAAACAAACAAGGGACTTGGCATAGTCTGATAGTTAGGGCGAAACCCGTCACCGAACATGTTCGTACTTTCAACTGTGAGGGTTTTATACTGTGACGGTCAATCTCACTATTCGTCGGTAAAGAGTATTCCAAGGGTTGGCGGTGGGTGAAGTTGACAAGCTGACTTCCCTCTGGTATATTACTTCAAAATTAGGGACAACTCGAGTAAGTATGTACGAAGTTCAGCAAACAAACTTGTTATTGTTAATTGTATCACTAAATTACTGAATAAACTTACCGAATAGCGCTAAAGGCGCAACCTGAGGGTCGCGGGTTCAAATCCCCGTCCCTCCAAAGATGCTTGACCTTTCAGCCGTAGGGGCGTTATAATTGACGGTCAAGCCCACTATTCGCTAGTAAACGAGTAGCCCAAGAATTGGCGGTGAATGTTGATGACTATCTGCCTTCCTTTTAGTCTTTCTCTGTTAAATTAGGGACGGCTAGCACAGAAATCCCTCGTGTAGCTATGCGCGAAAATACAAAACATACAAATAAACTTCTCTGTATATTTCCTTTATCTTTTGTCCCCCAGTGGGTCAGAAGAAAGTTTACGAACTTACAACGCTAAAATCTGTGTTCCGTTATTTTGTTTCAAACTTTCTCAAATTTCCTCTATTCTTCTACTAGTCAACCTTTATTAAGCCTTTGTCATTATTAGGGGATATTTCTTGTCGGTGTGAAACGAATGCCACCCGCCTGTAAGAATATTCTTGTGTCTTATTATTCATCTAAATGATCCGCAAATATAAATTAAGCTGAAACCTTTGATAGTGACAGCAACCATTAATTATACATTTCTGAATTCAAAAGTCGAGTAATAACAATGATTTTAAAATTCTATTCAGTTCGGAAAGATTGCCAATAATCGGGCCAAGGCCGTTACAGACCAATACACACTTTCCAGAGATGGGGGGGGGGGAGAACGTGAAATGTAACAAATCTGGCTATAATGGGTTCCAAGAGATCGCAGGCTAATACATGCAGCTTATATTTTCCAACATAGGATTTCTGAAGGGTTCCCGCGATTATTTTGTGATTAAAAGAATAAGTGACCCATATGTGAAAATGTGCATATGATGACATAACTCCAAGGATGAAGTATTT